TGTGGTGTGTGGTGTGTGTCTGTGGTGTGTGTGTGGTGTGTGTGTGTGGTGTGTGGTGTGGTGTGTGGTGTGTGTGTGTGGTGTGTGTGGTGTGTGTGTGGTGTGTGTGTGTGGTGTGTGTGTGTGGTGTGTGTGTGGTGTGTGTGTGTGGTGTGTGGTGTGTGTCTGTGGTGTGTGTGTGGTGTGTGTGTGTGGTGTGTGGTGTGGTGTGTGGTGTGTGTGTGTGGTGTGTGTGGTGTGTGTGTGGTGTGTGTGTGTGGTGTGTGTGTGTGGTGTGTGTGTGGTGTGTGTGTGGTGTGTGGTGTGGTGTGTGGTGTGTGTGTGTGGTGTGTGTGTGGTGTGTGTGGTGTGTGTGTGTGGTGTGTGAGGTGTGTGTGGTGTGTGGTGTGGTGTGTGGTGTGTGTGTGTGGTGTGTGTGGTATGTGTGTGTGGTGTGTGTGGTATGTGTGTGTGGTGTGTGTGTGCGTGTGTGTGTATACACACACACACGCACACACACACCACTTTATCCATTCTGCTGGTGGGCATTGAGGTTGATTCCATGTGTTTGCTACTATGAATAGTGCTGCAGTGAACACACATGCGCACGTGTCTTTAGGATGGGATGATTTATATACCTCTGGGTGTACACCCAGTAATGAGATTGCTGGGTCAGGAAGCATATATGTATATTTTTAGAAGCTCGGTGTCACTGATCATTAAGAAAAAGGAAAATCAAAAGCACAATGAGGTACTATCTTACAGCCATCAGATGGCTACTGCTAAAAGGTTAAATAATAATAATAATAGACACTGGCAAGGTTGCAGAGAAAGGGGCCGTGTAAATGAGCTCAGCCATGGTGGGAAACAGCCAAGGTAAGATTTCGACATAAGATCTGGGAATGGGCACACACGTTCAGTCTAGAGCAGCGGTTCTGGGGCCTGTGGACGCCCGAGAGAGCCAAGGGGCCCTGACATCCACCAAGGACAGGACGTGGAGAGGGAAGGGAAGGAGGCCGGCAGAGTCTTCCAGAAACGCCTGCATTTAAAGGTCAGGTTTCGAGGAGGACCCAGCCCAGGTGGGTGAATGAGAAGGGCCCGGGGGTGCAGAATCCCAGGAGGACTCAGAGAAGAAGGCTGTGCAGAGCGTTTTGCGGTTGTTTGAAACGACGGGGCGGCAGGGAAGGTTTCCAAAGGCGGGGAGTCGGACGACGAGGTTGTGTTAACGGCACTGACTTCCCTGCTAGAGAAAAGCTCGCTTGCCTTTGCCCGAGTCTGTAGATTATTCATTAAAAACAGCCTCGGGAGAACAAGGCCTTTCACGGAGATAAAAGAGAGCAGCTAAGCGGCCGCTGTGGGAACACGCTGACCCCCCTGATAAGCGCAGCCCGAGCATTCCTGCGCAAGGCCAAAGACACGGACCCAGGAGGCGGCGATGAACTGCCCGCCTGAGCCCCCGCACGTCCCGCAGAAGCGCCCTGACCACCACGGACACCCGCCTGACCTCCCCGAACCGGGGACGCACCCGGATCCCGTGTCATCATAGAAACGTGAGCGGTTGCTGCAACCGTGTGAAGACACAAATTAACAACCGGACGGAAACACTTAAAAAGGGAAAACGTTTTTGCTAAGTTGGTCGTGATTAGTGACTTGAAAAAAAGTATTATTTTTTTTATGTGTAAGTGAGGCAATCAAGGAATTAGAAAAAAAAAAAAAATGGATCAGAAAATGAGGTTGATGAGTGCGTCTACGGAAAGAGGAGGGAAACACAAAACATGTCTTTTTTTTTTTTTTTTTTTTTTTTTTTTTTGGAAACTCAAGTTTCACTGTGGTCCGCCAGGCTGGAGTGCTGTGGCGCGATCTCGGCTCATAGCAAAACCCCCGCCTCCCTCCACCGTTCACCGCCTGGGGGTGGGGAGGGCGCCGCTTTAATGGAACCAACTTTCCTTTTCACCCAAAGCTCGTCTTTAAGGTTCAGCTTTCACAGGGACCCCCCCGGCCCGGACCTCAGTTCGGTTACAGTTGCCTGGATTTGGGTGCGGGGAGGTCACTGGGGGACCTCGGGGGCTGCACGGGGCGGGGCGGGGGCGCCTCAGGCCCAGCTGGCCTCACGGGTGGGTGGGGGCGCAGGGCTGGCCAAAGCCCTAGGTCCAGCCGCAGCCGAGGGGACCGCGCCCCGCCCTGCAGGAGGAATGCGCCCCTGGCCCTGTGCTCTCCCCCGCGGTGGAGACGGGGCCCAGGAAGCGTGGGAACTGCAGGCAGGACCCCACCAGCTTGAGACTCATTCCCACCGGCTCCTCTAACCACAGGGCCTCCTCTGCAGGGGACGAACCGCAGCCTGGACGCCGCTGCGCTCAGGCTCCACACCCTGCAGCCAGCCAGTCACTCCCCGGGCCTCTCCCCTGGCCTCTGCCGCCCTTCCTCCTCCTCTCTCGCGGGGCCCTCTGCCCCGCCAAAAGCCTCCCTGCCCACGCTGCTGAAGGGAAACTGTATGCTTGTGTTGACTCTGGCAGAAATAAATACATAATAATTTAAAATAAATGCACGAAGGGAAACTGGGCCAGGAATCCACATTGCTTTAGGTTCAAGAACATTCTCTCTCCCAAGGCCTACAAGGCCCTGCCTTATGCCCTGTGAACGGGCTCTCCTGAGTATGCACACAGACAAGTATTAATGGACATGTGGTCACACGCATGCATGTCTACACACATGTACTCATACACAGGCATCTGATGATAAGCATATGATCACACACATGCATGTGTACACAGACACCCACAAACATAGGCATATGGTCACACGCATGCATACGTACACACACAGACACCCACAAACACTCATAGGCATATGATCACACACATGCATGTGTACACAGACACCCACAAACATAGGCATATGGTCACACGCATGCATGTGTACACACACACACAGACACTCACAAACATAGGCATATGGTCACACGCATACATACGTACACACACAGACACCCACAAACACTCATAGGCATATGATCATACACATGTATGTGTACACAGACACCCACAAACATAGGCATATGGTCACACGCATGCATACGTACACACACAGACACCCACAAACACTCATAGGCATATGATCACACACATGCATGTTTACACACACCCACAAACACTCATAGGCGTATGATCACACTTGTGTACATACACACAGACACCCACAAACACTCAGAGATGTATGATCACACTCGTGTATATATACACCCACACAGACACCCACAAACACTGATAGGCATATGATCACATGCATGCATGTATACACACGTATACACACAGATACTCAGGCATATGATCACACGCATGCATGTGTACACACAGACAAATACACATAGGCATATGATCACACAAATGCATGTGTACCCATATATACTCACACACAGAGACACAGATACTCATAGACATGGTCACACGTGTGCAGGTATGCACATACACTCACACAGACACCCACAAATACTCCTAGCTGTGCAGTCACATGTGCGTATACACATCTACCCACACATGGACATATATACACACTCAGAAATACATGTCTCCAAGTACAAAACAGACAAAAACAGGGCCCTGGCAGCTCTGGTTTTGGAAAAGCAGCTCCATTGACAGCTCACTCTCATGAATATCTATTGGAAGTATTAGTGCTTCAAAGCAATAGAAACTAAAAGCAAGTTAAGGTACCTTTGACCTCAATCCAGGGAGTTTATTCTGAGGGAGAAAATATAACATATTCAAAAAGCCAGAGCAATGCTGTCCAAAGGAAATGTAATATGAACCATGTGTTTTTTAAGTCTTCTAGTAGCAACATTTTTTTTTTTTTTTTTTTTTTTGAGACAGAGTTTTGCTCTTGTTGCCCAGGCTGGAGTGCAATGGCGTCATCTCAGCTCACTGCAACCTCCACCTCCTGGGTTCAAATGATTCCCCTGCCTAAGCCTCCCCAGCAGTTGAGATTACAGGCATGTGCCACCACACCAGTTAATTTTGTATTTTTAATAGAGATGGGATTTCTCCATGTTGATCAGGCTGGTCTCGAACTCCCGACCTCAGGTGATCTGCCCGCCTTGGCCTCCCAAAGTGCTGGGATTACAGGCATGAGCCACCATGCCGGCCTCTAGTAGTTATATTTTTTAAAAGTCCCAATCAACAGGTCAAATTCATTTCAATAATATATTTTACTTAACAAAATGTCATCAAAATCGTAGCATTTTAATATGTCACTAATGTAAAAGATAGGACTCATCTATGATTTTGTCCTCTTGTCTTTGGAAGCTAGTGTGCATTTTACACCTGTAATTGAGCCCATTTCAACGCAGCTCAGCCACATCCCAAATGCTCCCCATACACAAGTGACTCGTGGCTGCCATACCAGACAGTGCCTTCGAAGCACATTTCCCCTAATAGCACCACACCAAAAATATCCTAAGTGTCGCGCCTGTACTCCATAACCATGCAGTCATTGCGCTGGTTACGTCACGTATCTAGCACACAGCAGTCCTTTAATAAATATCCCTTAAAGAAATTAAAAAGTGTCAAGCCTGTAATCCCAGCACTTTGGGAGGCCGAGGCGGGTGGATCACGAGGTCAAGAGATCGAGACCATCCTGGTCAACACGGTGAAACCCCATCTCTACTAAAAATACAAAAAATTAGCTGGGCATGGTGGCGCACGCCTGTAATCCCAGCACTTTAGGAGACTGAGGCGGGTGGATCACAAGGTCAAGAGATCGAGACCATCCTGGTCAACATGGTGAAACCCCGTCTCTACTAAAAATACAAAAAATTAGCTGGGCATGGTGGCGCGTGCCTGTAATCCCAGCTACTCGGGAGGCTGAGGCAGGAGAATTGCCTGAACCCAGGAGGCGGAGGTTGCGGTGAGCCGAGATCACGCCATTGCACTCCAGCCTGGGTAACAAGAGCGAAACTCCGTCTCAAAAAAAAAAAAAAAAAAAAGAAATTAAAAAGTGGAAACACAGTTATGATGTGTTATGAAGCAAAACAAAAAATGAACTGAAACAGTCAGGCAAAATGTCTTATTTTATGTTGGCCTAATGCAAACCAGAGTTTGAACCTTAACTGTAGCATACTTAGTTCTGTGACTGGGTAGGTCTGTAAAACCCACCTCCTGTGTTTTCTTGGGAGGAATAAATAGAAGAGTCTGTATTAACAGTCAGCACAGAGCCTGTCTCACAGTAATTACTCGTCAACATGAGCAATTGCTGCAACTGTGTGAAGATACAAATTAAAAACTGGAAGGAAAAACTTTAAAAGGAAAACTTTAATGCTGGGTTGATAGTGATTATTCACTCAGAAAATGTGTTGTTTTTTATGGAGCCACAATTCTGTGTAAGTGAGGAAAGTGAGGAATTAGAAAGAAATGGATCCGAAAAGGAGGCTGATGAGCGCTTCTACAGAAAGAGGAGGGAAACACAAAACGTCTTTTTTTTTTTGAGACCGAGTTTCACTCTTGTGTCCCAGGCCAGAGTGCAATGGCATGATCTCGGCTCACTATAACCTCTGTCTCCCAGGTGCAAGAGAATCTCCTGCCTCAGTTTCCCGAGTAGCTGGGACTACAGGCGCCTGCCACATCCAGCTAATTATTGTATTTTTAGTAGAGACAGGGTTTCACCATGTTGGCCAGGCTGGTCTCAAACTCCTGACCTCAGGTGATCCACCCACCTCAGCCTCCCAAAGTGCTGGGATTACAGGCATGAGCCACTGCACCCAGCCTACAGACATCTTTAACAGTTACAGTGGGGTGGCTGTGAAACGGGAGGGGCGCACGGTGGTCTCTAGAAAGCTGCTAACACTGTATGTATTTACTCTGAATTTTTTTTTAAAAAACAGAAAAGTTTAGAATAAGAGTCCATCTACATAGAGCCAACTGGGTTTGAATAAAAAAGACTGTGCTAATTTTCTTCTGGGATATCCTCCATCACTTCATTTGGAATTTGTTTGGCACAGTTCACAGAGGGGCCCACCGCGTGCGCACGGGGAGTCTCACATGCTCTTCTTGTTTTTCTGACACAGATGTTTCAAAATATTTGAATGGTCAGGATAAGCTAAAAGGTCAAGGGAATGCGTACTGAGATAAGTAAATCTGTAACGAGATAACATCCTCAAAGGTTTTTCTCAAATAAGAAAGGAGAGGTTCTAAATAGGGAAACAGAACCGAAGTTAACAAGTTATTGGACAGTTATAATTATCAGACTCTAGGAATGAATAATCAAGTTTTACCAGTTTCAGGGTATTAGTTGTCTTTTCCGTGTCCATCCATCTGAAAAACCAGAGAACAACACGAAACATCCCCTTGTTAAAGACTAAAACAAAATTGTGTTCTGAAAGTTCTTAGCTTTTGTAACCAAAATCGGAAGAAAAAGAAAGTGATCACGTTTTTTAATGGAACACATCCAAGTGTATAAATGAACCAAGGAACCACGTAAGGTAGCCCAGATCTAAGTCAACACAAATGCAGATTTCGGTTTTTAAAAAAGAAAGAAAACATAAAGTTGTCAGAACATTAACATTACAGAGAAAAGAAAAATATAAGGAAAAAAAAAGGTTCCATGCAAACAGTTGGTGTGCAAACAGATGGTGTGTTTAAGTCTGTTTACTGCCGGGCAAGGGAGGAATTCCTTATGCCAAACACGTAGCACTGTGTATGGAAGACATCATTCATTTGCCTAACTTCACTGCCATGCATATGGTGTTGAAATCAAAGCTTGCTTTTACCTTGGGGCAGAATTCCACAGCAGCGGGATAAGCCGAGACAACATCTGTCGGCTGGACTCCTTAAAATTCAAATACGTGGTTTCGGTGCTCATCCGTTTCTTTCTAAACAACGTGAAATCAGATTCGGTCTCCATTCCTCATAAGCCACGTGAATTCCTTTATCTTCCTGTGAACTGTGTGAGGCATGGAGGAGATTGTATACACAAAGATACATTGGAATGCCTTAAAGATCATCATAAAACCGACAACCACACATGTAACCTTTAGACATTACCAACGCTAAACAAATCCCCTGAAAATCACTTCTCCAAATGACTGGGTTTTTTTTGCTGACGGTTTACTCCCTGAATGGCCAAATTTGCCAAAATCACCGCATTCATCTGGTTAACAGTGACAAAAGCGTGTTTCTTTTAATACCTTCTGACAGTTACAGCGATCCCTCTAGGAACTCTCTTTCTCCCGTTCTCCCTTTCTTTCTCTCTTTCAATTGTGAGGGAGTTCCTAGAAGCTTCTGTGATGTGTGAATGATTTGACTGGAAGTTTTCGCTTCGTTTTAAGGCAGCTTTCAGCTTAGCTCCACAGTGGCTGTAGCTGCTTCGTTGTAGCCAAACTGAAGGTTAGTGTGTTCGGAGGACTTTTATATCTTAAAATGAGAATTTCTGGATGGTTCCTCCAAGTGTATTCTGCAGGTCTTGAATGTCAAGGATGCTATGAAAGGTAGAACAGGTTTTTATCATGCAACGCATTTTCACTCCTGTCTTTTGAAATTCTCTGAACAGATACGTTACTCAGTGTGAGCACACAGACGTTTTCAACATGGGTAAGACATCTGAGAGACGCTCAGTGCCTATAATGAGAGCTACACCTAAACCTGACGTGTCTTTCAGCCTGATTTGCAAATCAGCTACAGAGCTGAGCTAAGTCTGCCAAAGGGAAACAAAAACTACGGCAAAACCAAATTTAATTTCAGCTGAAATGAAACTAAAACAGCAAAGAAAAAAAATTTTTTCCCAAAGCCCCTGTAATCCCAGCACTCCGGGAAGCTGAGGCGGGAGGATTGCCTGAGCCCAGGAGTTCAAGATCAGTCTGAGCGACATGTAGAAACTCCATCTCTACAAAAAAAAGAAAAAAAATTTACCTGGGCATGGTGGTATACAACTGTGGTCCCAGCTACTGGGGAGGCTGAGGCGGGAGAATTGCCTGAGCCCAGGAGTTCAAGATCAGTCTGAGCGACATGTAGAAACTCCATCTCTACAAAAAAAAATTTACCTGGGCATGGTGGTATACAACTGTGGTCCCAGCTGCTGGGGAGGCTGAGGCGGGAGGATTGCCTGAGCCCAGGAGTTCAAGATCAGTCTGAGCGACATGTAGAAACTCCATCTCTACAAAAAAAAAAAAAAAAAAAAAAAAAAAAATTTAGCTGGGCATGGTGGTATACAACTGTGGTCCCAGCTACTGGGGAGGCTGAGGTGGGAGGATTGCTTGCACCCAGGAGGTTGAGGCTGCTGGGGCTATGATCGTAAGACCGCACTGTAGCCTGAGCAACAGAGCAAGACTCTGTCTTGGAAAAAAGAAAGAGAGAAAGAAAGGGAGAATGGGAGAAAGAGAGTAAGAGAGAAAGGAAGGGGAAGGAAGGAGGGAAAGAAGGAAGAGAGGGAGGAAAGGAGGAAGGGAGGGAAGGCAGGAGAGGAAGGGATGGAGGGAAGGAGAGAAGGACAGGAAGAAGGGAGGGAGGGAGGGAGCGAAGGAGGGAGGGAGTGAAGGAAAACAAAGGGAAGAGTTACCCCTGGAGTCCATTAACACCACCCCATGGTGGTATGATTTTGTGTAATGTTCACAGATATTTAGTAGAAATTGTTTACAGTGCATCCATCATTTGGCAAATTTTCCATTTGGCAAACCCTCTTTCCAACTCCTCCCCCTGAATACCTCATCCCATCACTTGTGGCTCATGGGAAGGTCAGTTTACCATCTTCTTTTGAAGGTATTTCCTTCTCTGCTGAGATCCTTCCTGTCAGCATGCCCACATGCTGTGTTGTCTTCCACCTTAAAAACAAATGCTGTTTAGATCTTAAGTTCCTCCCTAGCCACTGTCCCTTTATAGGCAAAGCACGTCCAAGGCGTCTCTCTCTGCTCCTTCTCCTCAACTTTCTCTGCTCCATCTCTCCTAAGCCCATGGGTGTCTGGCTTCCATTCCCAACCCACACTGACGTACTTGTGTCAAGGTCACCAGGATCCTCCACTTTGCTGAAAACAACCCAGTTCTTAACCTTCGGCGGATCCAATCTACTGACCACACATGACAACTTAGTCCTCGTCTCCTCTGCTGAAGCCTTTCCTCATTTGGCTCACACACCGCAAACTCTGCAGGTTTTCCTCCCACATCAACAATGAGCATGTTCTCATTTCTACCTGCACTGACTCCATCCAGCCCGTGACAGTTATTAAGTGTACTAGGTAGAACAGGGTCCCCCAGAACTCATGTCCACATGGAACCCAGAATGTGGCCTTCTTTGGAAATAGAGTCCTTGCAGATGATCATGATTGTCGAGGAGGTCACAGTGGATTACGGCAGGTCTTACATCCAATAACTGGTGTCTGTTTAAGAAGAGAAGAGAATCCTTGGGAGGCCGAGGCGGGTCGATCACGAGGTCAAGAGATCGAGACCATCCTGGTCAACATGGTGAAACCCCGTCTCTACTAAAAATACAAAAAATTAGCTGGGCATGGTGGCGCGTGCCTGTAATCCCAGCTACTCAGGAGGCTGAGGCAGGAGAATTGCCTGAACCCAGGAGGCGGAGGTTGCGGTGAGCCGAGATCGCGCCATTGCACTCCAGCCTGGGTAACAAGAGCAAAACTCCATCTCAAAAAAAAAAAAAAAAAAAAAAAGAAAAGAAAAGAAAATGCAGGGAGAAGCATGCCTTGTGATGTTGGAGGTGGAGTTTGGAGGGCTGCTGCAACCCGAGGGACACTGAGGATCAGGGCAACCAGACCAGAAGCCAGGAGAAGCCACAACATTGAAGAACAGCCTAGGGTCTCATCGTGCTGGGAACAAGATCCAGACTCCTCCCTCGTGCCTGCAAGGTCCCAAGAGGTCCACTGTTCTTCCTCAGCCTACTCTTACCTCCTCCCATCTGCCCTTTGCGCAGTCCATTCCCACCACACCACACTTCCCTGCGTTCCCTGAGCACGTTCTGTGCCTCTGCAGAGAGCTGTGCCCTTGCAGTTCCCTCTGCGCTTCCCCAAAATCTTGCTGTGGTAGGATGAGTGCATCCTTCACGCCTCAGGCCAGTTACCCCCTGCTTGGAGGCGCCTTCCTGACTGTCCACATCAGCCGCCTCCTCGCCATGCCCCATCCCCTCCACCTGCTCTACCCTTCCCACCACCAACAAATCACCTTAGGACGTTGCATTATTCTAAACCACAGTGCCCATTACTGCATTACATGATGTACGACTGTATGGTGTCATCGTATCACATTCGGTGCTGTTACATTCTGTTATGTTGTACAGCATATTTTTCTTTTAACATTTTATCTTTAAATTGACAAAAATTACACATAGTGTGTATGTGTTTTATAAAATCTCTACATTGTGAAGTGGCTAAATCAAACTAGTTAACATATGTGTTATCTCACGTACTTTGGTTTTTGCGGTAAGAACATTTAGAGTCTACTCTAAGCAATATTATCATATGCTATATTATTATATATTATAGTATTATGTAGTGCTACATTATATTATTATATTACATATTACACTATATTATGAGATAGCATACTATAATATACTACATTATATTATATTACATTACATATTATACTATATTATTTTATACTATATTATAGTATAGTATATATGATATAGCATACTATAATATAGATTATACTACATTATATTATATCACATATTACATTACATTACATATTACATTATATTATGAGGTAGCATACTATAATATACTACATTACATTATATTATATTACATATTACATTACATATTATACTATATTATTTTATACTATATTATAGCATAGTATATATGATATAGCTTACTATAATATATATTATACTACATTATATTATTATATCACATATTATATTACATATTACACTATATTATGAGATAGCATACTATAATATACTACATTATATATTACATTACATATTATACTATATTATTTTATACTATATTATAGCATAGTATATTATTATATCACATATTATATTACATATTACACTATATTATGAGATAGCATACTATAATATACTACATTATATTATATTACATCACATATTATACTATATTATTTTATACTATATTATAGTATAGTATATATGATATAGCATACTATAATATAGATTATACTACATTTTATTATATTACATATTATACTATATTATTTTATACTATAGTATATTATGATATAGAATACTATAATATACTACATTACATTATATTATATTATTATATTACATATTACATTGTGTACTAGACAGTTGACCTTCAAACAAGGCAGGTTTGAAATGTGCGGGTCCGCTTATATACAGATTTTCTTTCCCCCCACCCAAGACAGAGTCTTGCTGTGTTGCCCAGGTTAGAATGCAATGGCACCATCTCTGCTCACTGCAACCTCTGCCTTCCAGGTTCAAGCAGTTCTCCCGTCTCAGCCTCCTGAGTAGCTGGGATTACAAGTACACACCACCAGGTAATTTTTTGTATTTTTTAGTAGAGACGAGGTTTCACCACGTTGGCCAGGCTGGTCGTGAACTCCTGACCTCATGATCCGCCAGCCTCAGCCTCCCAAAGTGCTGGGATTACAGGTGTGAGCCACCACTCCCGGCCTTACATACAGGTTTTCTTTGCCTCTGCCACCCCTACCGTAGCAAGACCAGGCCCTCTTCTTCCTCCTTCTCCACAGCCTACTTAATGGAAGATGACAAGGATGAAGACTTTTGAGATGATCTTCGTCCACTTAGTGAATAGCGAATGTATTTTTTCCTCATTATGATTACCTTAATAGCATTTTCTTTTCTCTAGCTGACTTTACTTCGGGAGGATAGTATATAATACATATAACATACAAAATATGTGTTAACTAACTGTGTATCTGGTAAGGCTTCTGGTCTACAGTAGGCTATTAGTAGCTAAGTTTGGGGGAATCCAAAGTTATCCAAGAATTTCCTTTTCGTCGACACAGAGCTCGCTCTGTCTGTCACCCAGGCTGGAGCGCAGTGGTACGAGGATCTCAGCTCACTGCAGCCTCCGCTTCCCAGGCTCAGGCGATTGTCCCACCTCAGCCTTCTGAATAGCTGGGACTACGGGCACTCACACTACCATGCCTGACTAATTTTTTTGTATTTTTTGTAGAGACAGAGACTCCCTATGTTCAGGTTGCTCTCGAACTCCTGGCTTCAAGTGATCCACCGACTTTGGTCTCCCAAAGTGCCGGAGTTACACGTGTGAGCCACTGCACCCTGGCCTACCCGCAGATTTTTAACGGCTTAGGTGTCAGCACACCTGACTGCCTGCATTGTTCAAGGGTCAACCGTATTTTAAAAAATATTTTACGTTAAATTCCGGGATACACGTGCTGAACGTGCAGGGTAGTTCCATAGGTATCCATGTGCCATGGTGGTTTGCTTCACCCATCAAACTGCCATCTAGGTTTTAAGCCCTGCATGCATTGGGTATTTGTCCTAATGCTCTCCCTCCCTTTGCCCCCACTTCCCCGACAGGCCCTGGTGTGTGACGTTCCCTTCCCTGTGTCCATGTGTTCTCGCCATTCAACTGCCACTTATGAGTGAGATCATGCGGTG